TTTTCTGGACACCTGGGTGGCTCAGTTGGTAAGCATCCGCCTTCGGCTCAGGTTTGTTCTCATGGTTCGTGGGTTCGAGCCCCGCGTCGGGCTCTGCGCTAACAGCTCAGAGCCTGGAGCCTGCTTCGGATTCTAGGTCTCCTTCTCTCTCTTCCCCTCCCCCACTTGTTCTCTTTCTCTCTCTCTCTCTCTCTCTCTCTTGCAAAAATAAAAACATTAAAAAAAAAACTTCTGAGCGCTTAAAATACGATGCGATTTACACACCTCAATTGATTCAATTCTAGTTCAACCTAACTTTAAACCATTTTCCTGGAGACAGGAGGAATGCCTGGTTCTCTCTCAGCATTCCTTCTCTCCTTTCTTCCCATGCCCAAGGAGCCATGCCATTGACTGGTTCTGGGTTTGCCAAGGGGCTGGAAGGTATAATCTACAGCCTGGAGGTATAATTCAGCCCCAGAGTTGACAAATGAAAAATGGGGCTCCCAGGGAGACGACACAACTTCTTGGAGATGATCTAGTAAGTTAGTGCTAGTTTCACTCCATAATACTATCTCCTCACTGCAGTCCCTTACTTCACACTTGCCTTTCCTAAACTATATCCCCCCGTCTTTCAGACTTGTTAGGGAATTGTCCCTGGTGAAAAAGCAAACCCAGAGGGTTAACACACACAGCAGCTACCATTCATTTTCAGCCCAGTGAGAATTAGTTTACCAAGCAGTTTGGGGGGGGGCTAAGGAGTGGGTGGAGGCAGGGAGTCAACTGGCCAGAGGACATGGGGTCAGCCCGGAAAGTCACACTGGATTGAGAGCAGTTTGGATGTCTGGAGCAGAAGGTAGCAGAAGAAAAAGGGGAGGAAAGCTGGAAAACAAAGTTTGCTTTGCTCATTGCATATTTTCAAATTCAAACTAAAAACAGGTTTTCATTATTTGTTACATTTTTTTTTTTTAACATTTATTGAGACAGAAAGAGACAGAGCATGAGCATGGGAGGGGCAGAGAGAGGAGGAGACACAGAATCTGAAGGAGGCTCCAGGTTCTGAGCTGTCAGCACAGAGCCCAACGTGGGGCTCGACCTCACAAACCCAGCAAGATCATGACCTGAGCCAAAGTCAGATGCTTAACTGACTGAGCCACCCGGGCACCCCGCATTACATTCTTTGATTGCATGTGCCTTAGACATTAATTGTGCTTCAAAACCAAACGCTGAAATTGCTGTCCATTTTATGGTCTGCATATCCTCGTCTGCCACTCTGTCTTCAATCCATGGCGCTTCTGGCTCCCATTCTCAAGCTCACCAATGATCTCCATAGCAGTGGATGTATTTTTTAGTTCTTACGGCATTTAACCTCCCAGCACTACTTGACTCAGTTCCCTCATTCTTTTTTTTTTTAATTTTTAAAGAATATTTAGTTTTGAGAGAGACAGAGACAGAATGAGAGTGGGTTGGGGCAGAGAGAGAGGGAGACACAGAAGCAGAAGCAGGCTCCAGGCTCCGAGCTGTCAGCACAGAGCCTGATGCAGGGCTCGAACTCACAAGCCGTGAGATCATGACCTGAGCCGAAGTCGGATGCTCAACCCACTGAGCCACCCAGGTGCCGCAGTTCCCTCATTCTTGAAAATCTGTTTACCTACCATCAGACCAAGTTCTCCTGCATTTTTCCTAGCTTTTGTACACTCTTTCTCTCCTTTTTAGAGTCTTCTGCCTGACCATTAAATGTCAGAATTCTCCAAGGCTCTTTTTAGAACCCTCTTTTCTTCTCACTTTATGATCTGTCTCTCTGAGCAATATTTCCTTGTCCACATCTATGGCTCTGCGTGAGAATGACTCACAAGTTTGTGTCCCCAGCCCAGACCTTGTCTTCTGCCTCCTGTGATCAGCCCAATGTGGCCCTTTTGTTGGGTATCTTAGAATATGAAACTCAACAAATCTCAAACTCATGATGTTCATCCCACAAACCTAGACTTCTTAAAGTACTTTCCATGGTACAACCATGGACCTAGTTGCACAAGCCTGGAGTGTTCGGCGGGGGTTGCCCTTTACTTCTTCCTTCTCACCCCCATATTCAATTTGTCCTCTACTCTCATCAAGTTTACCTACTAAACATCTCAAATTCATCTGCTCTCCCGTTTCCACCTCCACAGTCCATCCTCTTCCACGTGGACTTCTACAATATTCATCTAACTATTCAATCACATCCATCTTGGGCTCCTTCAATGTGTCTTCTACATCAAATCTGAAATAATCTTCCCAAAGTACAGCTCAAATTGTGCCTACCTGTCCCCATGTTGAAAGCCTTTTTTGGCTTCTCATTGTTATTAGAATTAAAATTTAAGGGGCTCCTGGGTGGCTCAGTTGGTTGAGCAGCTGACTTCAGCTCCAGTCATGATGTCACAGTTCATGAACTTGAACCTCACATCGGGTCTGTGCTGACAGCTCAAAGCCTGGAGCCTGCTTTGGATTCTGTGTCTCCCTCTCCCTCTGCCCTCCCCGTTCATACTCTGTCTCTCTCTCTCTCTCTCTCTCTCTCTCTCTCTCTCTCTCTCTCAAAAGTAAATAAAGCACATAAAAAAATTAAAAATAAATGAACAAACATTAAAAAAAATAGAATTTAAAACAGGGGCGCCTGAGTAGCTCAGTCAGTTAAGGGTTAGGCTCTTGGTTTTGGCTCAGTTCACGATCTCATGGTTCATGAGTTTGCGCCCCACATCAGGCTCTGTACTGACAGTGCATAGCCTGCTTGGGATTCTCTCTCTCCCTTTCTCTCTGCACCTCCCCTGCTCACACACACACACTCTCTTTCTCTGTCTCTCTCTGTCTCTCTCTCAAAAATAAATAAATTTTTAAAAACAGAATTAAAATTTAAAACGTTCATGTAGGAGCAACTTCTTAATATTCACACTGAATTGCAGTCTTCCGGGCTCTGCCATCTAATTGCATGACTTGACCTCCAGTCATCATGTTGAGCTTCCTCCCACCCCAGGACCTTTTCACATCCTCTGCCCTTTGCCTGGAACATTGATCTTTCTCCTTTCCATTCACTTACCTCCTGTCTCCTCAGATCATTTTACTTCCCCCAGGAAAGCTGTGGTGGGTCTTGTTGACAAACCATATTCTAGGCTCCCAGAGTATCATGTTCTTCTCCATTTCATTAAAACAACAACAACAACAACAACAAACACCTGGCATGTTTTTAAAAACCTGACATATTTTTTAATTCAATTTAATTTTTTAATGTTTATTTATTTTTGAGAGGGAACGTGCAAGCAGGGGAGGAGCAGAGAGAAAGGGGGACAGGGGAGCCAAATTGCGCACGGTGCTAAGAGCAGAGAGCTCCATGCGGGGCTCAAACTCATGAGCCATGAGATAATGACCTGAGCTGAAGTCGGATGCTTAACTGACTGAGCCACCCAGGTGCCCCTGCTTTTTTTTATCATTGTACCCCTAGCACTTAGGGTGGTGCCTGCCATGTGGTGGGCATACCATAAGTACTGCTTATTAATTGTACCTTGGTTTTCAATTATTGGGAATATTATTATGAGTCCAAGTTGGAATTCACCAGGATTCCCAGCCTAGGAACCCCAACAGAGTCTATGACGTATAAACTATTCTAAGTGAATATGCCTTGACAAACTAAGGTGCACCCCAAATGTGAATGTGACTTGACACTCACAAAGGAAATGGATCACCCACACTTATCAACGGAAAGAATACACTAAAACCATTTTACTGCATTACCTAAATGAGGCAAAAATGTTCTGAAAATTTGAGGACTTTTTAGCCTCAAAACTGAAGTTTATCAGACAGCTCCACATATCAAATTTGGACTCTTCAGGTAGCAAATGTGACGGCACTTTTCTCAGCTGATTTCATCTACAAGATCGGGAACAGCTAGGTGTTGAGAGCGTTCACTCGACCACATAGCCACTCTCCGGGTATAGATAGTTTAAGTACTTCAACTCTGGAGATAAATCGTGACTCTTGAGCTTGTATTCATTCTCCTGGCAATCTACAAGCAAATGTGGCCTGGGAGCCTTTACCCTCCAACGAGAGTATATTTTTTTGGAAACACTTCATCCGTCTGTGTGCTTCAACGTCCTTACCTATAAAATGGGAATGCTAAAACCTACCCTGCCTGCCTCAGGGTCATTGGGAAAGTCTAAAGTAAAATTAACCAAGGGAAATTATCTTGTGAAGCATAAAGTCCCACGCATGTGCAGTTCATTCCTTTTCATAGTAATTGTTGGTATGATGAACATTCTATAGGCTAGTCATACCCGTAAATAGCCATGATAATTAATTAAGTTATGATATTCATGGCCAGACACCTGCTATGGAACAAGAAATGTCTCTCAGATGACGTGGGGGAGAAAACGAACAATTAGGAATCCAGAATATTTCTAGATTTAGCATTTTGTTTTCCCCCAAATGGCCCTTTTCTGTCTTTCCAAAGAATCCTGCTGCATCACTGAAAGAAATGGATTTTTCTTAGTCAAAATTAAATACAATAAGTTGATAGTGGCCATGTAGGTCTTCACACATAATGCTTGGCTGCTCTGAGCCTCGATTCAGCTGTTGGTCCTGAATGGGGCTCCGGCCCTTTAGGCACACATTCCACTAAAACACCGCGCAAATCATGTATTTTAACCACACATGCCAGGTTTCAGGGAACAGAACTCTCTTTAATTATGAAACAGTTTGCACATTTGCTGGATGCACATGAGGGGCTATTTTATAAAGGCACAATTATCAGAAGCAAAAAAGTTTAAAAAATAACTCACAGAGAGATGAATCTGGAACACAGTAAGAGAGGAGACAAAATCATATGAAGAGAAAGGCCTAGAGACCCTTTTGGCTGAATCCTGTTGGTTCAGAGTTTTGCACCTGTCAGTGTCTTTTATTTGCTTCAGTAGAAGATATTTCTTCAGGCCTGTGGACAACTCTGAAATTGCAAAACAGGCGTGGAAGCACATTCATGGAAATGTAATCTTGTCTTCCTCTAGACCGTGGGGACTATGAGCTATCCTGGGGTTCCACGTGCCAGAGACATGAAGAAAGCAGAGCGGTCCCAGAGAAAAGTGACCGTGGAGGAGGAGCTTCCGCCACAAGGGAGAGAATAGGGTAAGAAGTTCACATTTGTAAGTAATTGCAACAGCTGCCAGTAAATATACTGTCTTTCAGGGATGTGAGATGATAATAAAGCCAGGCAGCTGACCCAAGCTCCCCGGGCAGCAGAACAGAGGGGAGGCAGCGTCCTTTATTAAAATACAGACAGGGTGTTCGAGGTTAGGCATCAGGAGAAACTTATTGAAGGCAAACCTTGTCCATTTCTGAAGGCATCAGCACCATAGTTTGAGTTTGAGGCATTTTAAACAATGGAATGGAATAGAATGAGGTTAGCTTGTTTGGAGACCGGGAGATTAAAAAAAAAAAAAAAAAGGTCAAAAAGGTCAGACGGTCTTCTCTTCAGCTGCCTTCTCTTTCTTCCAAGTGCACTAAGTTGGGTGAACTGGTGTCTGTGTGCCTGAGTTCAAAACCAGATCTACCATTTATTGGCTGTGTGGCCTTAGACAAGTTACTTCGTCTCTCTGTGCCTCAGTTTCCTTCTTAGTCAATGATAATGATAGAGTGTTCTCTCAAGGACCATTGTGAGGAGTAAATGAGGTCGCCTATGGAAAAGCCTTTAGCGCAACACCTTCCAGGAAGTAAGCACTTAATACACACTGGCTGGTATTATTGTTTTGTTACTGTGTTCGTTTTGGCCTCCTCTCCACACACAGTCTACGTCTCTAAACCCAGTCGCATTACGGTCCTATCCTGGCTTCCCTTAGGCCCCAGGGTTGTGCTTAAACCATTTGGGCATGTCATATCCACCCAAACCCAGTGTGGCACTCATGGTCTCCCATGCCAGCTGACCTTTTCCCCCAAAACATCCAACATTGGTCATCAGTACTTTCTCACGTTAGTCTCCTAGACAAAGACTTTGGAGTCCCCTCGTTCCCCATTGCTACTTCCCCAGCTCTTTAAAATGCCCTTTAAGGGGTGCCTGGGTGGCTCAGTCGGTTAGGTGTCCGACTTCAGCTCAGGCCATGATCTTGTGGTCCGTGGGTTTGAGCCCCACATGGGGCTCTGTGCTGACAGCTGAGAGCCTGGAGCCTGCTTCAGATTCTGTGTCTCCCTCTCTCTCTGCCCCTCCCCCATGCATGCTCTGTGTGTGTGTCTCTCTCTCAAAAATAAACATTAAAAATTTTTTTACAAATAAAAAAATAAAATGCCCTTTAATCTCCTTCACCGCCACCCTCTCATGGATTTCCTGACTTCAGCAAGATTCTGGATCTTTCCCCCACCGTCTCTTTCCCTCCCCTACTCGTCTTCACTATCCCTACTGCCAGCTCATCCTAGTCTCCTCTTCCTACACTAATCTTCCTAAAATTCCATTTTGCCTTGGCAAGTCTCCCGCTTAGGAGCCAAAAATGACATCCAACTGTCACTGCAGTCGAATTCAGGCTCCTTTTTGGTGTGCTGGGAATGTTTTGGATTTGAATCTGGAGGGTGCTTCCATGGCGTGGGTTATCAGTCTCCTTACGCTGCTGTAACGAACACCACAGGCTGGGGGGCTTAAACAACAGAGGTTTATTCCTGGTCCTGGGGGCTGGAATTCCCAGATCAAGGTGTGGGCATGGTTGGTTCCTTCTGAGGCCTCTCTCCTTGGCCTGCAGACGGCCGTCTTCACCCCGTGTGCTCACGTGGTCTTCTCTCTGTGTGTATCTGTGCCTGATCTGTTCTTAGGACTGTGTCCTATCCTCCTTTGCTTACAGGGACACCATAATGATGTCATTATGGATTCGGGCCCATCCTAATGATCTCACTTTAACTTATTTAGGTCCTTTAAGACCCTATCTCCAAATACAGTCACATCCGAAGGTACTGGAGGGTTCGGGATTTCAACATGAATTTTGACAAGGAGACAGCATAATTCAGCCTAGAACAGTATATGTATATGAAAATTAAAGCACACTCTCAATGTACATGTAGTTTACTGTACCTATATTATACTTTGGTAAAATAATTTAAAAATTGGCAGTAGTAACAATAAAAAATCAACTTCCTTCTCTCGACCTCAAATCCCATGTTCTCTTCTCACTGTCTTAGACAAATCCTTGATATCCTTCTCACTTTCCTTGTTCTCTCCATGCATTCATTCATGCACCCACCACGTTTGTTTCTGTGTCTACACTCATACCTTTCCTCCCCTCCATTACCTTTTTTTTTTTAATTTTTTTTAACATTTATTTATTATTGAGAAACAGACAGAGCATGAGCAGGGGAGGGGCAGAGAGAGGAGGAGACACAGAATCCGAAGCAGACTCCAGGCTCCGAGCTGTCAGCACAGAGCCTGACACGGGGCTCGAACTCACAGACCACGAGATCATGACCTGAGCTGAAGTCAGATGCTCAACTGACTGAGCTACCCAGGCGCCCCTCCATAACCTGTTTTTTAAAAAGTTTATTTATTTTCAGAGAGAGAGAGAGAAAGCATGACTGGGAGAGGGGCAGAGAGAGAAGGAGAGAGAATTTCAAGCAGGCTCTGCACTCTCAGCACGGAGCCTGACTCAGGGGTCAATCCCATGGCCCCGGGATGATGACCTGAACTGAAATCAAGAGTCAGAGGCCCAAACAGCTAAGCCACCCAGGTGCCCCTTCCCTCCATAGCCTTTAAAACCTTTCGGGGCTCAGCTCAAATTCTATCTCCTGCATGTACAGATTTGTTCACATGCACTCTGTTTCATTCAGCATTGATGGAGTGTGTTCTATGTGCTGGTCTCAACGTTCTGGAATATTGAATGAGAGACATGTGCCCCAGCCTCATGGAGTCTGCCATTTGTGGGAAGACGGATGAGTAAAAATCAGCAAGCATTGTAGTTATGAACACCGGGTATCTCAGTCCTGCTCAGGATGCTTTAACAAAATACCACAGACAGAGTGGCTTAAACAACAGACGAACATTTACTTCTCATAGTTCTGGAGGCTGTGGAGTCCAAGATCAAAGTGCTGGCAGATTTGGTTAATGGCGAGAGCCCCCTTGCAGGCTTGCAGAGAGCTGCCTTCTTGCTGTGAGTTCTCATGCTGTAGAGACAGCGCCCTGGCATCTCTTCCCCATTTTAGAAAGGTGTCAACTCCATCCTGAGGCCTCATGACCTCATCTAGACTTAATTACTTCTCGAAGGCCCTACCTCCAAATATCATCACATTCGGGGTTGGAGCTCCAATACAGGAATTTTGGGAGAGCTCAAACATTTAGTCTATAATTCAGGGCATAATGTGAGCACAGTCACCAGAGACCATAAGGATGAGAAAGATTAGCCAGATAAGGGGATGCAGAATAAAAAATGCATTCATGGGGAAAGCCTCTTGCAGATGTTCTGGGATGAATGAAGGCAGGCAGAGTAGGGAACTAACCGCAAGTAACTTAGTGTTTCTGGGGCATAGGGGCATGAAAAGGGGTGATGGGAAAGAGAGTGCTGAGGCTGAAGAGGGGCTCCCAGGAGCTATTCAGGGGACTTTGCACTTTACCCTGCAGGCAGTAGTGGGTCACTGAAGCCTGAGAGTCAGTCAAAATCGCAGAGTAGAAATTTCTCTTTGGCAACAAAAAGGAGGATAAGTTAGGGGTGACCCGCTGGACGTCTCTCTAGACTCTACATCCTGATTTAGAATTGAATGGTCAATTTTTGCTCCCAGGCTCTAGATTTCAGTCTCCTACCCAAGTATAAGCTTGTTCAGGACAAGGACCCTATTTTTGCAGGTGCCCAGCATAAGACTCCATGAAAACTCTGCAAGGATCCTCTTCTGAACTTTTTCTTCCCTTGCTATGATCAGATGTCACTATAACACTTTTCTTTCGGTAAAGAATGTTCTTCCCACACCATTACTGTACTTATTTTATTGGACTTTCTTGGGAATGTCCAGAAAATGGGCTGATGTCAAGTGCAAAGGTCATAGTGCTGTGGACAGTGACAGTTAGATGTAAAGCAGGGCTTCTGGGACTTTAATATGCACACGGACACTGAGGACTCTTGTTAAAAATGCAGATCTAGGGGCGCCTGGGTGGTTCAGTCGGTTAAGCGTCCGACTCTTGATGTCAGCTCTCAATGGTTTGTGAGATTGAGCCCCATGTCAGGCTCTGCACTGGCAATGCGGAGCCTGCTTGGGATTCTCTCTCTCTCTCTCTCTCTCTCCCTCTCTCCCTCTCTCCCTCTCCCCCTCCCTCCCTCCCTCCCTCTCCCTGACCTTCCCCCACTCACTCTCTCTTTCTCTTAAAATAAATAAATAAACTTAAAAAAAAAAAAACCTTAAAAAATGCAGATTTGGATTCCGCAGGTCTGGGATGGGGCCTGGGACTCTGCTTCTCTGACAAGTGGATGCAGCATGTCCACGACCATATTTTGAGGAGCCAGGGTGTTGGGGGAAGAACACCCCAGGCTGAAAAACCTGAGGGTCTGGGTTTGAGCTCTCTGCCTTGTCAGAAAGTGGACGCAAGACCCGGACCAAGTCAGTGAACTTCCCTGGGCCTCAAGCTTCCACTTTATATAAGGAGTTTGTCCAGGTGATCTCTTTAAATTCATCTGCAATTTGGTGAGTTCTATTTGGCAAAAACATTTTGAGAGTCTTGAAGAAAAGAGGTATGTGAATCCAGTCCATTATAGTTATTAATGTTACTGAGAGAGGGGCCATGGCTGGAGTTCCAGTGGATTAAAAAAAATAATCCTTTAATCTTTCTAACATAGTCTCTCACCACTTGGCTGGGCACAACGTAGATTACTGCTTTGAATGCGCCAGGCTAAAACGAAAATCTCAAGTCAGGATCCTCTTGCCCTTATACTCCATTTGCGGCCATGCTGTCTCGGATGCATGTTGAAATAACTTTTCAATCGTGAAACAAGCCTCCATTTACTTTAAAATAAATTTTCAAGGAGTTCTATGTAAACCCCAAATTCACCACGGTAGCCGGGAAAGAACAGGTGCAACGGAGTGTGGATTTTTGAATTTAAACATCTCTAACTTGGGATTTGGTTGACGTGATCCCTGAAGGTCTCCGCATTGCTACTGTATGCGCTGAAAAG